AGGAGCTCACGGCCTTCAGACCCGTTCTTGCTGGGCCAGGTCCCTGGGCCGAGGTCCAGGCCACCCTGCTCCCGTGCCTAGGCCTGCGCCCCTGCTCACTGCCACCCAGGGTACAGCTGAGCCGGCCTGAATTCATGCTCAGAGGACAGGCGGGAAAAATAAGCGCTGCCCTCTGAGGCTGCGGAGCAAAGCCAGTCAGTGTCCTAGTGCTGGTACCTTTGGTGACCAAAGCACTTAAATTTACGGGATCGGCGGTGAGAATAGGGTGTGAGCAGGCTGTTGAGAGCCAAAATAGATTTTAAACCATCACATTTTAAAGGCTTGCAGATGATTGTGGTCACCATTACTCAGTTTCATACACAAGAAGTTTGAAATCTGAGCATCTGGGGGCTTGCCTGGGGTCACACGGCCGGCTCCTCACTCGGAGGTGCTCCTTTCACCACATGAGACAATGGGGCACCTTCCTTACCATCTCTGTCAGGGGACAGGCAAGACACAGTGGAAGTCTTAGACTCATTTTTACGGATTAGGGAATCGGGGTGCAGAAAGACAGGATGGACTCCACGCTGCGGGAAAGCACGTCAGGGCTGTTGCTGCCACCCCGATTCCCATCCTCCAGGGCTGTGTCTCCCCCGCCCGGCTGAGGGCTCACCCCTCACACACCCAGGGGAGGTGTGTCCCCTCAGTCTGGACTAACAGGGTGGTACCACCGGAGCTGTGGGGCAGGCGAGAGCCTGTATGGGGTCTGCCATCTGGGGAGCCGGCCTTCTCCCAGAGAGCCGGGGTCTCTGAACAGAAGCTGCCTTCGCTAATTGCTGGTCCGTGTCTTCTGGGTAAGATGAAAGTGACAGCGCTGGGGGCACTNTGGGGAGCCGGCCTTCTCCCAGAGAGCTGGGGTCTCTGAACAGAAGCTGCCTTCGCTAATCGCTGGTCCGTGTCTTCTGGGTAAGATGAAAGTGACAGCGCTGGGGGCACTTCTGCTTTCCCTTCACTGGGTTGGGAGCAGCGCCAGTCGCCAGTCGCATGCCCGGGATCTGTGATTCCGCCGCCGCTCTGGATGCGGAGCCCTAGAGGGGCACTGGAGGGAGAGCTGGGCGCAGGCGTTGGCAGGAAGGCCCAGGGCCTCGCAGCCTCCTGTCTCTTCCTTTCTACCTCCCCATCTTCACTTCCCTTCTCAAGAGTCCTAGGGCCTGATAGAATTTTCTGGTTCCTTAGAAATGATCTATGTCCTACTTACCTTTAAAAGCACCAGTGCTTAGAACAATGCCTGGAACTTACTATAAAAAATGGTATTATTTTCCGGTAGGTATTCAATGACTGTGGTGAATGAATAAATGATCTCCTTCCAACAGCCCCATTTAAAGCACTGTGTACTTAATCACATGAAGACTGTTAAGTCAAACAAACCTGATACTCTTAGGCCTGATCTGTCTTTATTTCCTCCTGTGTCTGCCTGTCATTCATTTTTGGTCGTATCTCCATTTGACACCACAGATGCGTTGAGTCCAAACAGGAAAGAGTGTGTGCACCTCGCCCCCCTCACATATTTCTAACCACCTCCATTTCTGCAGATGTTGCAAAGTTTATCCAAGAGGCTCTTAAGCACTCTCAGGTAGAGCGACTCTCATGGACTAGCACATGGCCCCTTAAATGATCTTTGAATAGTATTTTCTCTTTATTGCTTCGTATAGTTTAATTGCACCAATTGCGATTACTCTAGCTTATGATAAATCCCAAACCTATAAAGCTCCTGTTCATTCATGACTTTTCTCAGGCTGTTATTTTGGGGGGATGTAGCGAGGAGGGGGGAGTGGAGGGAGAAGAAAATAAAAAGATACCAGATTAACAAGGAAACATGAAATAGAAGACCGCTTCTCCCCGGGTGACAGACGCCCTACTAAATACTGTTAAACAGAACAAATAAACTTTAATACGGTACAAGTAAGCCTTTTATACTTATTCTAAATGAGAAATATAATGATCACCACCTTATCTTTAATGGAGGAAGCAGCTAATAGTTCTAATCTCTCACTAATTCCAGCATCTGGGAGAGAAATAATTATTTTTTACCATTTTGCCAATTGTTCAATTTAATCCCAAGGTGTCTGCTGCAGCCTGGACAGAGATTTCTGTTTCTTGAGCTAATGTCATGGCTTCTATTCCACTTCAATTATTAATATGTGAAAGTTATAATTATTTTGAGTATTGGTACAAGATAATTATAAACCATAAAACAGCTCCCCATGCTTGCTGATGCCTTTTCTTATCTGCAGACGTGTTGGAGTTGGGCACGTGAGTTTTAGAGAGAGAAAAAACCCCCACATGTATAATGTGGCACTTGAGGTGGTAAGACTACCCACAGTGGGAGCAGAGGAGCCTTGCCCACCCCTCTGGTCCCTTTCCCTTCTCTGTCCATCCAGAGCCAAAGGTGACCCACCTCATGCATCTCCTCTTCTGCCCCGCTGTCTCACCTCCTCCTATCTGTCTCCTCCTTGTTATTTTAGATTTGTAACCACTCACACGGGGTGGCTTAGCGTGCTGAATACCCCCGTGTCTCCTTCTTAATCCAGAAATAGCAGCAGCTACTGTGTGTGTGGTTGTGTGTGAGCATGTGCATGGATGTGTGCCTCGGGGCATTTGGGAGGGGTGAGAGCCACATGCAGAGAGGGAGGCAGGGGTGAGGTGCTGGCTTCCCTGGGCCCTCAGGGATCCCTCTGCGGCCTCCCTCGTTCTGAATACCTTGCTTAATTCTCAAGTGGTCGTCACTAGGGGGAGGGCATTGGGCATCTATCAGTTGAAAGTAATAACATATTTGTGTAGATTGTATGTCTTTAGAGAGGGGACTCAGAGAGAATAGATATTGTTTTGGCATCTTCTCATTTTAAAAAGAAAAAAAAAACTTCTAAAATGCGGTTTTAGCTTAGCTGTCACACAAAGTCAGGCCAACTGTCTGAGGCACTGGGTCCTGGTCTTGTTCCTGAGTCCTCATCTAGTCCTCCCTGACTCCCTTCCTTCCTTCTTTACTTAAGCAACATCTAAGACGTGCCTCTCTACCTAATGCTGAATTTCTCTTTCTTACCATTTCCTAAATTCTGGGTTCAGGGCATTACCATTGTACCTTTCTGCTCTGGCAAATGCATCCAGACCCCTTGCTATGGATTGAATTGTGTGCCCCTTTCTCCCAATTTATATGTTGAAGCCACACCCTGCACTGTGACTATATGTGGAGGGAGGGCCTTTACAGAAGTAATCAAGGTTAAATGAGGGGAGGGCCTTGATCCAAGAGGATTGTTGTCTTCATAAGAAGAGCCTTCGAGGGCTTGCTCTCTCTCTGCCAGGTGAGGGCACAGTAAAAAGGGGGCCACCTGCAGGCCAGGAAAAGAGCTCACACAAGAACCTGATCTTGGACTTTCTGTCTCCAGAATGTGAAAAAATAATTTTCTGTGGTTTTTTGTTACAGCAGCCCGAGCTGACTAATAGGACTTCCCCACCATTAGCCACTTGTGAAAGGTGGGGGCAGTCAAATCATGTTCAATAGTCATGTGACATGATTCTTTGGAGGCCCCAGGATCTAGCCTCAGCATCTTTCTTCTTAGGCCCCCAGAGCTTGAGGTTTCAAATCCAGCCCAGCTCCTGAGTTTTTGGCTTCCCCAGTCTGTGGCTTCAGCTTCTCTAATGAGCATGGTCAACAGGACAGTGTATCTATCCAGCACCACGGACAGAGGCACCCTGTCCGCGCCCACAAATGAGAAGTTACTGCCCAGCGCTCTCAGGAAGGCCCTGCTGGGAGTGGAGGGGCTGGGCCGAGACAGAGAAGAGTCAGGGAGGGAGGCTGACTGGCAGGATGCAGAAAACACAGCCTCCAACTCTGGGAAGTGGCCTCTTGGGGCTGCTGCCTCCTTAGGCAGACAGGCAGCAAAGTGGGGGAGGTGATATTCCTTGCGCTGGCCTGCCTCTCGTGGCACTGCCACCGTGATGGGTGCTGGTGACAAACCTCTAGCTGGCAAGGCATCGGGTTTGGGGAGGGTGTAGGTGTCATGGACTGTGGGTTGGAGGAGAGCCAGGTGAGCATAGGAAGCAAGCACTGGAACTGTGCGATGGCCCAACTCTGGGAATAGAGAAGGCACAGGTGAGTTGCTTCCCCCATGCCTGGCATGGAGCCCAGGGCCTCAGGAGGGGAGGGGCCCCTATCGCAGCAAGCTGGGCTGGTCGCAAGCCAGGGCTTCATTTGCCTGACTTGAATGAATAAATGGCATCCCCAGCCATTGTTTATCTACTTTTGAATCTTGACAAACAGTCTGTGGCATCTGATGGAAAGGGTTATTAGCTACACAGAGACAGATGGCTGGGGATGCAGGGCTTGGCTCTTTATTACACCAGGCCTGTAAGTGACAGCACTCCTTCCATAGCCCGGCCTCCCTGTCAATGTCAATGCCCTTCCCTAGCTTCCTGTGACCCAGGCAAGCCTCAGAGGGAAGACTCAGTGCAAGAGGAGGGCAGCTGAGCAAGTGGGAGGCGGAGGGGAGCTGGAGCTGGAGAAGAGGGCAGGTCTCCAGGGGTAAGTCCTTTGAGGATAAAGACCGTCTTATTTTCCTTCCCTTTTGTCCCCAGTGCCTTATAAGGTGGCGTTCCCTCAACAGACATTTAAGAAATGAGAGCGACTGAGGAGGGAGGCATAGTGGTGTGGATTAGAAAAGATAGTGGAAGCAGGTTTAACTGTGCCAGGGGAGCGGGAAACAAAAATTAGGGAAGCGAGAGGAAGGGGAGGCACAGAGGGAGGGGAAAGATGGCTTCAGGGAAGGGCTTTGGAATCCGCATATTGTGCTCTGGCATTAGCGACCCCTCTCCACGTTACTGTGTAAATAGCTTCATGGGCATCGAACTGCTCTGCCCACTGTTCTTTCTAGATGTCCCAGGTTCCTTCCCTTGGCACTGGAGTTGTAGGGCACAGCTTCCTCCCTCCATGTTACTCCTGAGAGGGTAGGCGGGTTCTCACTGACCTTCATTCATTCTCCGAAACTTGTCCTTGGCCATGTAGCCCAGCACCAGGCAGCATCCTCTCTTCTGAAGGCCCAGCTCTGGAAGAAAAACACAGGCAGGTGAGCCGGGTATGGGTCAGGGATCAGAGAACCTCCTTTGCAGGGCATGCGGCGCTTGCTGCTCGTATCAACAGGGCTGCTTATTTATTTCACAAACATTTACACAGCACTTACTATGGCCCAGGCATAATTTTAAGCTATAAATTCCATATCTGATGAGGTGCATACATTATCCATTCTTTTTTCAATCCTCACCTGAGGACATGCATAAAGAGAGGAAGGGAGGGAGGGAGAGAGAGGTGAGACAGAAACATCTATGAGTTGCCTTCCATACGTGACCGGGGATTGAACCCACAACCCAGGTATGTGTCCTGACCAGGGATCGAATCAGCAACATTTCGAAGCACAGGATGACACTCAACCAACTGAGCCACTCTAGCTGGGCCCATTATTCATTTACACCACCCTCATTTTCACATGTAATTTATAAGCAGTCAGAGATGGAAGAGCTAGTGGGTGGCAGAACCAAGGGTTTGAACCTAGGCAGTCTGGATCCAGAATCCTCACTTACAACCACTACTCGTAGGTTCATGAAGCCCAATATGTCCCAGGCTTGGGGACAACACCAAGATGATCCTGGTCAGGCCTGCGAGAGAAGAGGCGGAGTCCAGCAGCTGGTGCCCGGGATGGAACAGCGCAACCAGACAGAGTGTGACTCAACGGGATGGAGAAGTGATGGGTGAACTTGGAGGAAGGCACAGGGGTTTGAGGTAGAGATAGGGAGAGAGGGGTTTCTGGGGCCGGGGGTCCTGTGCATGCTTATGTTCAAGTACCATTTGCCACCATCATCAAGCACATCTGAGTTGTAGGCTCAGTGAGGAGCACTGGGGTTGGGGTGGCTAAGGGACACAAGACAGGCTCTGGTGCCAAGGCCTGTGATGCAACTGGAAAACCAAGTTAGAACAACAATCCTAGGTAGCAAGTGCAAGAGAGAGTCTTTTCACAGCGTTTTTGTAAATCAGAGCCCGCTGTGTGTGAGCACCAGCCTGGAGGGCACCTGCCCCACAAGAAGTCGCGCTTTCCTCTCTGGTGTTCATCCTTGAATCCTGACTGGTCGTAAACACTCTCTGGGCTCCGAAGCAATCCCATCCCCCGTTTCCCCTTGAACCCTACACCAACCCCACGAGATAGGCAGATGGGACCCTGCTCTGCACATGACACAGATGAGAATATTGAAATTCAAAGATGCTAAATGGCTTCCTGGGATTATTTTAGACTTCCCACCCTTGCCTGTTTGCTTAGAAGTCCTACAAATGTGACAATTGCCACAAACTGGGTCAATGATAAGGGGTATGATTTCCGGAAGATGGGATGTGACTGCACCCTCTCCTAGGCCTTGCCAGGCTTTCTGGGCACCCAGGCGCTCCTCCCTCTATCAGTTTCTCAGAGAATGAAGCTCCCACCGGGCGGTGTGTTGGAGCAACTTCTCCAAAAACACTGGGTGTTTCTAGGCCGTTAGAGCACAGGAAGGCTGGGCTCCTCCTTCCTACATCCCCATCCGCCTCTGGTTGCCCAGCGCCCCCTCCCTGAGCAGCAGGATGAAAGGGAACCCAGGGCCCGTGAGAGACAGAGGAGTCAAGCTCGGGGGGCTCTTGCCCTAGAGAAAAACAAAGCGTGGTGGGTGGCAGCTGAATGCCATGGCCCAGGGAGGTCGCTAGCTTTGATCTCCTGATTCTTTAAAGGGGTTTATTGACTATCAGTAAAGAGCAGAGAGGCAGACCTGAGCATGCCTATCCAAAGGCACTCGCTTCTTTCCCTTTCCTTCCACGCTCCCTCATCTGAAGGCATGGCCAAACCGCCCTCACTTCAAACAGCCTTACATCTCAGGCGCCCAAATTGGCGATGTTAAGTTCCCTCATCCGAGGCCTTGGTTCTTTCTTCGGCGGCTCCTGCTCTGTCGAGGGCGTGTGGATCAAAGCCCCTTTGATGTTTACTTACTATATTTGTGGATTCGTTCTAACAACCACCTTCAAGAGGCACGGATGCAGTGTCAGGAGGGGGCTGGCGGAAGGACAAGCTGTGAGGAGGCTCTGAGCTCCCCTGAACAATGGCCCCTTGCCTGAGACTGTATTGAAACCTCAGCACGCTGACGACAGGCAGAGTCAGCCCGTCCATTATAAGTGGGAGCGACTGTTCACCATCAGAAAGATACAATTGCTGGTGATTCTTTTTATAGTTTCCAGTGACTTCTTAGGTCCATTGAAAGCATATCAGCAGTGGCTGCTAATGAGAAAGGGAGCCCAGGCTCCTGGACTGAGCCCAGGAGGAGACCACGGGAGCGCAGAGCATGGGGACAGATGGTGTTGGATGAATTTAGACCAATTTCCTGTTAGTCTTCCTGGAAAGTCCCTTAAATTCCCAGGGAAGGGGGGGGGGCATAATTTTCCTAAAGATTTAGACAGCATGGACAACCTGTTGAATCTAGATTGTCCATGTTGGCCGTCTCTGCCACCCCAACTCAGCCCGTCTGATGTCAACATAATAGGTCCCCCTCGGAGTGACTGCGGGAGGAGAGGGGCTGCATGTGCAGCTATTTTAAGTCAGAGCCTCACTGACCAAGTTTGAATTTTGCAAATGACCGAGAAAAGAAGTTTTTAAAAACTTGATTAATAAAAGAAATGGATGGATGAGGCAATTTCTCAATGTATTTGGCTCATTTAATTTGACACGTGTGGGTTAGTCTTAATTATTTAGGCAGCTACGTTACAAGGCGCTAATAAGCACACTGCAGAAACTTACTAAGTGAGAGGCTCTTTGGCTGAGTCTTTACGGAGACGTGGGGAGAAGCCACTGGGATCTTTGCAAAAACAAGCAGGTTGGAGGATGGGTGAAGTGAGGATTAACTAGCTGTCCATATATGACAATGTGGGATCTCTTCAGAGAGATTTGCCAGAGCTAATAAGAGGTCACTGGGTCCAAGTGAGGAGGTGCCAGCAGGGCTGAGATGGGGGAAGGGAGGAGAAGCTGGAACCCAGGTGAGAACCGGGGAAATAGGAACTAACTGCTTTGGCTTAGGGAGGTCCACCAGGCCAGACCAACCCGGCCCTTAAGGGAGAGATGATCCAATGTGACAGAAAGAGCAGAACCTTCACTTTGTGAGCTAGACAGCCTCCAGACTGCTACCTTCCTTGCCACATTGCACTGGGATGGAGTAGAGTCAGATCACAGATGCCCATTTTAGATCGGCAAGATGATGGCATCTCCTCCAACTGGACCGGGGGCTGCAGACATCGGCCGAGCACTTATCAGTAGCAGAACCATCAGATGCACCGAAGGTGTCCATGGAAAGTGATTGACATGAAACAAAGTGTCCTGGCTTAAAATAAAAGCTCACAGCAGAGAAGTGCAGGGTCCCCTGCAGAGGGGGTGTGTGGAGGGCACTGTCTGAGCAGAACAAAGGCTTAGGAAATACTGCTGAGCAAGGAAACATTTATTAGGCAAGAGCATGTTTCTAAGGGAGAAGGGAAGATTTCCTCCCAGGGGCTCCTGGCCTCTAGACTGTGAACAACAGAAAGTCTGCATTGTGCCTTTAAAACAAAAAACAAACAAACAACCTACCTCTGAGCCTCTGGTCCCAAGCACGTGCCTGCTGATTTAATGAGAGGGCCGACTAGAAAATATTGGGCAGTGATCAGTTTTCCTCTGCCCAGGTCAGAATGCAATCAGGTGGCTTAAATGTGGCACAGCGGATCGAGGTAGGGAAAGAGGGCGGGGGAATGAATGGAAGTTGTAATTCATTGGAACAGGAGTCTAGGAAACGTGAGACTTTCCTCCAAAGAGGGACAATAGGCTCTATAAATGGAGCGGGTTTCCTTCAGTTTCAGAAGTGAGGGCTGGACTTTTTTCTAGCCTGAGGGTTTTTTAATTCTTATTAGTAATAACAGTGATACAGCGGTATTACTTCACATCTGCGAAATACTTATTTTCTCACGATGCTGTCATAGGCACTATCTCGTTAGATACAGCGGTCCTGTGATAGGCAAGGCAGGAATTAGTTCCCTCCTTGTGGTTTCAGAATCTGAGGCTCAGAGAAGGAAAGTGACAATTCAAGGCCAAAGCGCTAGTTGGTAGTGGTGCTCAGGCTGGGAGCCAGGGCTGATTTCCAGCTCAGTTCCCAGGGGAGGTCTGGGATCCCAGGGCTGCCAATGCTGTGAATCATGACAGACCAGGAACACACCGCACAGAGCGGCGGTCCAGGCGGGGACAGGGGGCAGAACTGTGTCCTCCCAAAACCCCAAGTTGAAGTTCCAACCCCAGCACCTGAGAATGTGACTTTATTTGGAGATAGGCCCTTGACAGAGGTAATCAAGTTAAAGTGGCCGCTCAGTTGTGGTGCCTTGTCACAGCAGCCCTAACAAACCAGGACAGACAGGAGGCCGAGAGGAACTGGTCTCACAAGGCCCGGTTAGTTCCACTGGCCACACTTCCTTGAAGCTGATCCCTTAGGTCCCAGAGCTGTCTGCAGGGACTCGCAGGACGGCATCCCATAACCGCTCAAAAGGCTCATCAGAGGGCACTAGCTGACCAGAGAGCAGCCAGTAGGGCTGACAAATGGGACAGGGGGGTTGGTGGGCACAAGTGACGATGGGAAGAGAGGAGGCGGAGAGGGAGGGCTGGCCATGTGCCTGCGCCCAGAGCCCTCCATGGCGATCTAGGATGCCTTTAGCGTTCCTGCTACCAGCGTGAGGGAGACGCTGGCCAGCGTAGTGCTCGCTTATTGCCCTAGCCAGAAACTGCTGAGCTCTGAGCAACTGTGGGTGGAGCTGGTGACAGTGGACATGTGCCAGCTCTTACTACCTCCCCACTTCCGAGGCGCTGGGAATGGAGAAACACTCTAGGAAGAGACAATGGACTGAGTGACGGTGGCACAGGCAGAGAATGGGGCGAAGATGACTGCAGTGTCCTCAGTCAGGAAGACGGGAGGACAGTGGTGTCCGTGTCAGAAGCGGGTGATTGACAGCTGAGCCACTTAGGCCCCG